GTCAACCAAGTCAGCAAGCCTGACCAGGCGTAAGTCGCCTCTTATGTCAAGCATGGGTTACTGAAAGCCAAATCTAACCCGGACCTTCACAGGTAACGTACATGCGTGCGTGCGTGCATGCATGTGTTTTTGTTTTTCTTCTTTATGCCTGACATGCCTCAGTCACATAACAATGCAGAGTTAATTGCATGACTTGGATGACAGGGCCATGTGTACCTCTCAAGAGATTGTAAAGCTGAGCCACTAACAAGTTACACATTCTACATTCTTTATTGAATGGAAACCTGTGTTGATTTATTGTTTCTGTGTCTGATTAGTAAATATTTTATTATTCATTGTGATATAGTACTGTCTGCAAGTAATTATGACTATATTGCAGTAATATGAATTTAACTGAAACCGATCCTTCTTCCATAATTTAAATCCTGCACATTGGTAAATTGTAAAACAAAATGTGAATGAAGATGATAAAATGCCTTATTTTAAATGCTCTATATTTTCATTGCATTAAGATAACACCTACCCTTGTGCACAAAGGATGATTTGTACTCTTTGCCATGTGGCCTATGATGCTGAATAAACATCTTGTTCTTGTTCTATTTTCATTTTGCCTTAACACAGATGTTTCGAAGAAAGCAGGTATGCATCTGTATGCATATAACATCATGTATATAATGATATGCAGGTTCTTTCCACAGGCAGAAAACAAACAGAATTTTGCGTAATTGTTGTGATTGAACACACAGCACATAACATTGTTGTTCATTATGACAATTCGTTAAATACTGCTACTTGCAACAAGTCAAAGGTGTTTGTTTAGGAATCTGCATCATAAGTATGCTATACCAATATCAATGAAAAGTAAAGGCCATGATAGTCATGCCATATATGTGACTTTGGACTGAGGAGGTAAATAAGAGAGCTCAGTACTTGAAACCTATTCCTAGAACCTATTAAGATTTTTTTGGCATCCTCATTTGTATGGTAGGTTAGGAACTGGCAAACATTACTGATCATAATGAGCTTTCCCATCTTCAGTTACTACTGCATACCTGTAACTACATGTATATTATTCATGACTCAAAATCTGTTCTTGACACAAAATCATAAAATAACCCACACCTAACATATATTCCAGTTCCTTTTATCAAATTTACAAACTAAAATCACTGGATTGCTGAACATGCTAGTCTATCACCCAAACTTTTAAAGGTAAGAGCTTACTCAAAAGTCATTCCTAAATTACTTGTCAAATAAGAATATGATATAATAAAGAAGTTGTTATCCATAGACTATCATACCTTTCTTATTATTAACTTCTAAAATGGCAATCAAGCAGATCACTTGTCCAACAGTAGACACATTCATTAAACCTCACACCTAATGCTTTAATGGGTCCAACTTTAACATTAAAATATATGTTGTACAAGGGTCAAAACTTAGACACACTATCTATTTACATTCACTGCTAAAGTTACGAAATGACTTAGGCATATACATTCCATTCAAATTGATTCACAGATTTACAAATCTTTTCACAAAGTATTATTATTTCTCCCACAAAATTCCCTACATGAGCTAATCACCTTGCTCAAATTAACAGAGGTTCTCACAGCTTCCAGGAGTCAGTTTCTCCTTGGAATTCATATATCAACAATCCAGTGAGCAGCAGCAGATCTGAACAGACAGCTACTCAGTAGCAATTAGGGAAGTATCAGTTGATATGTTTATGGGAAGTCTGCACTGTCAGTGCTGCACTAGCTAGCCTGTATTCAGTTGCTTCAGCCATTAACAGACCAATGAACCTTTCTGTTTTAACTAGGAATTTCCACTTTTAACAATTTAGCTCAAGCAAGTCTAGAAGAGACAAACACTCACATCCAAAGATAATGGCGATTTGTCTATACGGTGATCATATAGGTCATAATCATCCTTTGCATAATGTCATCAGATTGACATACTTGATATTTTCTTAAAATCAACTGTTAGAGTTATATACATGTATGAATTAAGTGAAATGTTCATGTTACATATAATCATTGGATTATTAAATAGAGGAATTTTCTTTCTCCAATACATATTATATACAACTTGATGTTTGCAGTAAATGTGAGAAATGCATCCTAGATATGTAATGATACTTGTTGATAATAATGAAATGTCACTTACAGCATTCATGTTTAAGGAAAGCATTTTCTTTGGTGGGGTATGATTCTTTGTTATACACCATCATGCACTGTGCAAGGTTATACCAATAGGTAATAGGTAACATATTCATCTCACACCTTGCTCTTCACCAAAAGCTCAAGCCTATTATGGTGTACATTTCAAATGTAGCAAACCTGATGTTATTCATAAAATACTTTTCTATGTCCAGAATATATTTACAAAGTATTAAACTTGTGGTTAACTAAATTAAATGTATGCAAACAACTTTAGTAGCAAAGTTAACTCCTGCATACACATGACACATCTAAACCAAACTGATGACCTATGGGAACTACACTTGTGTTTGCTGTAAATACTTGCACAGATACTGTCATGTCACAAATGAATGTGCCTTCTCAATCACTGAATCACAGCTGCCTAAAATGCCACCAAGTTATGCTGTGAACTGCTTGCACCCCTTCCTCCCTCACATGCCAAGACACCCCTCCCTTCTCTACCCATCCCAGTGTCAGTGTCAGTGTCTAACTGGTAACTAGTTGGAGGTTGTTGAAATTAATTAACAGTGTAAAGAAATTTGACCTCTGGGTATAAAACCAAAGACTATTCAATACCTTTATCAGACAGTACAAAAGTTTTCTTTCAAGAACAGTTGTTATAGTACAGGCACTGATACAGAAACAAGTCTCTGAAAAACTTCAAAGTAGAAGAAGAAGAATGGTCAACATCACCTGAATGCTCACACAAACAGGTAAGTTAATCTGCCACTGACTGCACTGTGCTGTAATATCAACTTACAAAGTTAACTTTCAGTTAGTGCTTTGGTTAGATTGTTCTACACTGTCATACATTCTTGAGAAGGAATGTTATTGGTATACTTATTATTGTAATTCTATATATTATTATTGTCATCATTCTTAATTAATTATATGAGAGTTTTAAATGACAATGAAATTTATTTACCCTTGTGTTTATCTTGATGAGGCCATTCAAGAATAACTGCTTTGAACACAATTAAAAAGCACATATGAGGAAGGTTTTGTATTTTTTAGATTAACTCTTACAAATGGTGACCCTATTTGTTTTCAAGAATCTGAGAATGAGTCAGTATAGTAGCATAATGATTGAACTTTAGTTTGTGACCCCACAACTGATTTAGGCAATTACATTATTGCATAAACAATCCAGAACCTAGAAATGAAGTAGATATTTATAACCTCGCCCAACCTTGAAGAGAATTGAAAAGAGAACTTAAACAAAACAGTAGAGTAAAACATATATAAGTTGAACAAGGAATTATATGTTACTGATCCTGATGTGAGTAAGATGGAAAATGACTTTTCAAATATAATGTGAAAAATTGATGATTTATTGAGCCATTTAAAGGAAACATTTGGTGAGCTAGAAATAATAAATACAGAAAGTATAAGAGAAAACTTCCTTAGTATAAGTGAAGGTATGTCATCAAGGCTTTAAAATATCAACAGAAAATAACATGGAAAACAGATATCACATGGAATTCAATTGTAGAATGAGAAACAAACATGAAGTAATGTGTGACATCACCACAAAATCAGCAACACAGAAAGGGGGAAAATGTGATGGTAAACTGATATCAAATGTCTAAGAAATATTATTTTTAACTGTTATTTTAAATACTGAAGATAATATAAAAATGAAGAATAGCTTACACAACTGAAATTACAATCTAGCCATTGATATGGCAGAATGAATATAATAATATTAACAGATTGAGTCTTGATTTTCACTGAAGAGAAATGTTTAACATATTAAAGATACATAGAAATATGGATTTACAGGTACATCAAGGATATAAACAATAACAACCAAATGACTGAAATGTCATTACATGTATTCCAAATTCAAGTCTAAGGGAAATTATAATACCATTATTTCATAAATATCCTTTTGTATTAGGTCAATTTATTGAAGGCATATACAAAATTCTGTATAACTCAGAAGAAAGTTTAAAATCAACTTTGCAACTATTACTTATTTCATAACATGTCAAGATTAATAAGTTAACATTGACTAGACTTGTATTATCTGTATTGTATCAGTGGGTAGTTCTATTAAAATCTGTTCGTGCTTTCCCTTGACTGGTAAGGTAAGTGCTAGGAATTATGTTTGACATAAAATTACAGTACATATCACTACTAAATACCAGGAAAATACTAATAAATACTAATAAGACATCAGAAAGTGGAGAAAGAGATGCAATTCATGTATTCTTACTCTGTACCAAACCTCCAAGTACATAATGTCATCGATGGGATAATATATTATATATTTTCTATAGCATTTGCTCATATCAGTATTTTACCTTTCTCAGGCAGTAACTTTTCACAAATGTTATAAAAAAGCTGCACATCTAGATGAATAAATTATGTTTACTAAGAGTATAATTATAATCAACTTAACAATAAATACTGAATGTTTAAAATTTATTGAGCTCTATCATAAAAGTATGATCAATAACATATCTGATACAGTTAATTGAAAAATATGTCACAAGATCAATATTCTTTTACAAAGAAAGTGTAATCCCAAATATAACAATAGTTAAATATTCTTTTCCTTCCTTCAGGACACAATGCCTCCTCCATGCTTGTCACCAGAGCTCTACAATTCAGTGGAAGCCATACTTTCTGCAAGCATCAATGTTCCAGTGAAAGAGAGATCTTTAATTCAAAAATTAGCATATAAGAAAATTAGCAAATATAAACTTTGTCTCAAAGATATTCACAACCCAGTTTCTGGTGAAAAGAAAAGAGAATCCTTTCACTGGGTAAAATTGTCCCCAAACTGATGAAATAGAGAATATTGTAGAAGCATTTTGTCAAATGACAAAAGGGGCGGGAGCACGACGTCTATATTCCACAATATCTCAGCATTTCCATGGAATAAGCAGGCCCCAAATAGAACGTTACGTCCAGAGCAGCAGCAGTTTGACAAAGTTGCATCCAACCTTCCAAAATAAGGCACCCTTAAAACCTGTGAGAGCATGTGTACCTTTTGAAAGACACCAAATTGACTTAGTAGATTTCAGCAGCAAATTAGAAACCAAAGATGGGATCACCTATCGCTTTGTGTTGTCTATACTGGACGTTTTTTCTAGGTTTTTATGGCTTAGGCCACTATGTGACAAAACATCACAGAGTGTTGTTAAAAGTTTAGTGCAGATGTACTTAGATCAGCAATGGGGTGCTCCCAAAATTATCCAAACAGATCAGGGTGGCGAGTTTAAGGGCATGATGAATTCACTCTGTGAAAAACTTGGAGTCAGGCTCATCCATTCTCAAGCCTACCACCCACAGTCTCAAGGAAAGGTAAGAAATTGTCTTCAATAATAACAGGTAGAGCCTGTTTCCAGCCAAGCTGCATGTTGCATGTAGGTCCTTATATTTGTAGTAAGGGACCGTTCATAACTTATGGCTGGGGTGGGTGGGTGTGTGTAATGGATAAAAATGATTGCCACGGAGGACAGTCGTGATATATCTGTAAATACAGATGAAAACAAATAATGGAACTAAACCCCTTTGATATTCATAAGAAAACTGTCAAAAGCTACCTCACCACCCCTGCACATATGTTTCCCAAGATAAAAGCAACAAAAACCTTTCCACATCAATAAGAAATCGGATGTATGATGAGTCGAATGTATGCTTCCTACTATATCATCAGCATGTGATTTGTATGTGTTCATGAATCATCATCAAATAGTGATGATACCAGAGGTGAAAAGGTGAGCAGTGGCACCCTTCAAAAATACTTGTGAAGGCAAGTCTCACCTGTTACAACATGGGAACATATGACAAAAGTCAAAATAGGTATTTGCATTTGACACAATATTTTCACTGCTAGCATATTAAAGGAATCCTTTAATGAAGAGGATATTTTCAAACATAAACGTAATTTTCATAATTTCAGGACGAGCGTTCACATAGAGTGTGGAAGGACTGTTTGCGGTATGACCTTCAGCACCTGGATGATATCTCCTGGGTAGACAGTCTTCCTGACTATTGCCGCATTCACAATGAATCGGTCAACTCAGCAATTGGTAAGATATTTAAGAGCTTAAGAAAATGGCTCTGATCATGGCATTATCTCATCCCACAAAAATACTCTGAAAATAAGTCCTGATGACTGTTGCATTGCACAGTCCCACTACTGGTCTACCTGTAACATTTTGTAACAAGTCCATGCTGATACAAGCTGTTTTTGTCTGTGGTTTGTTCTAAGTGTTTTCTGGGATACTGTGCATTATATATTGTAGGTTGCAGTCCTTACAGAGCCATGTTTGGATTCCATCCACACCATATCACCAGGCTGTTGAAAGCAGGAGGGAAAAGTATGGATGGATACACATGTGAAGACAATGCAGAATATGAAACTGTTGAAGAACATTCTCAGGTGACTGGAATTGTATTGCATATGGTATGGTATATGATATGGTATGGTATATGATATGGTATGGTACGATATGCTATGCTATGATATGGTATGGCATTACATATGGTATGGTATGGCATTACATATGGTATGGTATGGCATATCATATGGTATGGTATGGCATATGATATGGTATGGCATATGGTATGGTATGGTGCATGGCATATGGTATGGTATGCTAGGCATTGCATTTTGTATGGTATGGTATGGCATATGATAGGCTATGGCATATGATATGGCATGACATATGATATGGTATGGCATGGCATGGTATATGGTATGCTATGGTATGGTATAGTAGGGCATTGTAGGAGGTATGGTATGGTATGACATATGATATGGTATATGATATGGTATGGTATGACATATAGCATATGGTATGGTATAGAGTGCATAATGGTATGATATGGCATAATGATAAGAGAAACGGTATAATATGGTATGGCATTGCACATATGGCCATGATATGATCTGATATGGTTGAAATGGCATAAGCCCTATCTGGTATGGTGCACGGCTATATTTTATAACCCATGGTATGATATGATATGGTATGGCATTACATATGGTATGGTATGGCATATGAAGGCATGGCATATGGTATGGTATGCAGGGCAATATGATATGGTATGGCATATGGTATGCTATGGCATATGGTATAGTATGGGCATATGTATGAGGTATGGTATGGTATGGCATGACATATGATATGATATGGCATATGATATGATATGGTATGGCATATGATATGGCATAGCATATGGTATGGTATATGATAAGGTATGGCATTTGGTATGGTATGGTAGGACATATGATATAATGCATGGCTGATGATATGGTGTGGTATAATATATGGTATGTTATGGCATGGTATGACATATCATATGGTATGGTATATGGTATACCATATGGTATACCGATCGGGTGGTCAGGCTCGCTGACTTGGTTGACACGGCGCCTACATCGGTTCCCAATTGGCGCAGATCGACAGCTCATGCTGTTGATCACTGGATTGTCTGGTCCACACTAGACTATTTATTTTGACCGCCGCCATATAGCTGGAATATTGCTGAGCGCGGCGTAAAACTAAACTCACCACTCACTCACTCACTATATGGTATACTATACTATATGGTATGGTATATGGTATTGTATATGGTATGGTATATGGTATACTATATGGTATGGTACACTATATGGTATGGTATATGGTATACCATATGGTATGGCATAATGGTATGGTTTATGACATGGTGTATGGTATGGTATATGATATATGGTACATGGTATGGTATATGGTATGGTATGGCAGGGCATGACATTGCATATGGAGGTTATGGTACGGCATATGATATGATATGGTTATGGCATATGATATGGTATATGGCATGGCATATGGTATGGTATATGGCATGGTATGCTATGGCATCTGGATATGGTATGGCACAATATTCTATGATATGGTATTGCAAATGGTATGGTAAGGTATGGACATGTGTGATATGGTATGGTAGATGGTATGGTATGGTTTGGCATATGATATGGTATGATATGGTATATGTTATCTGGTATGGTATGGTATGGATGCATGTATGGTCTTATAATTTTATTATTTTATTAGGTTAGTGAAGGGACCCTAAACAGATTGAAAGAACTGCAAGATATCAGGAGAGAAGTCCTGATAAAATCAGACAAATCTTCATCGAAAATGGTGGATAAACATTTGAAGACCAATCCCCCTTCTCAGTATGAAGTGGGGAGATTGTCCTTTGTTCGTCATCTAGGCAAGGACAAAGGAGTAAACTTCAGGGTGGGCAGAAGATCACCTCCAAAAGCTGTTGAGGGTGAGATTTTGCAAGTAGACAACAAGCTCCACAAATACAAGGTGCGGATTGGAAAAAAAAAGTTTCATGGCGATCTGTTTGCCAGATTACAGCATTAACAAGGCAAAAGGAAGGAGAAAAAGAGAAGGCAAAGTAGACATGCAGGTGCAGTCTGTTATGGTCATATGTTCAAAGACTGCTAGTATAATTGATCACCATATGCTTTAAACTTTCACAAAACATTATGTTATTAAGTAGTTAGCACATAAATACAATAGGTTGCTCACTTTAAAATAACCTTAATGCTCAAGAGATTAATTTTGCTAACATTTCAGCATTTCACAAACGTTTTGTTTACTTTAATATGTACATAGATGCTCAGTCATGCTGACCAAATATGCTTTTGACTATATAGGATAATCTGTTATGTTAATTGAAGCATGCAGGTACTACAATCCTTTTGTTTGAGTTTCCACATGTATGTTATCACTTACATAAATACATATGTGTGAGTTACAAATTTAAGGAACTTATTTGATGCGTGTCTGAACGCAGGTAAAGGAAGCAAATCCAACATTTACCACTATAAGTTGCAAGCAAGAAAGGAAAGAAAATCTGAAGAATTTGTTTGCCCATGTGCTTCTGTCTAATTACCAGTTCTGAAATTTGACATATATTTTCAGATATCTACATGAATGTCAGGGCACTACAAAACAAAATGACGCACCCCAACAGCACTATCTTATGACCATCTTCTCCAGAAATTAGAAGACTTGGCAAGGGGGAAAGGGGAGGAAACGCATGTAGTGAAACACAACTCAGGTGGAGGAAACTGCATGTTTCTGTCCCTGAGTGACCAGATTTATCATGTAGAAAACTTAACTTGGAAAATGAATGCTCTGGAGGTTAGGGACAACATTGTGGAGCATCTGAGGACACACCCAAATACAGTAAGCCAGCATTGAAACTTGTTTTGTAGAAAACAAATAAGACTATTACTTAATAATTATATACACAGTGGTTTTGTATGACATGTTATCTTGCCTTGAGAGAGTAAGTCTGGTTTAACATCATGACATATGACCTGGGGACACTAGACATGGGCTTCACCCATTTACCAATGATAATAACAGAATCTAGATTTGAGGCTTGTAGATATGAATGCTTTAAAACACTATGCTGCCCAATCACACTATAGTATTAAACCAACTTGTGAGTCTTTTAAATAATAATAATTAATGATACATTTTGTACATGCAGATCGATGGAACACCACTGTATCAGTTTGTCTGCACACAGCAGTCATGGGAAGATTACCTTTCAACCATGGAGGCCCCTGGCACCTGGGGTGATCACCTAGTTCTCCTGGGTGCTGCAGAGTTCTCCAAGCTGACATTGAGGTAATCACAACAGCATCGGAAACACACCCGTCACGATCAAGGCAGTGAACAGACAAGATAAAACCAAGAAGCTATTCCTGGGACATATCTCTGAGTTCCATTATGTGAGCCTGAATGAACTAGGTAAGTACAAATTAATAGATTAACCACACCATAAACAATTATTTTCAAATGATATGAATTACACCAGCAGATGAGTAAACAAGTGGTTGACAGCTATGATCAATAATGTACAAATACCATCAGATCATGAATTACTGAGGACTTCTTTTATTCACCATAGTTAGGCAAACGATTCAATGTAAATTCATGTTTTTGACAAGTACAATGGCGGCCAGTTCATGTACCTGTTACTCTGTATGTGTAATTGATTACTTATATTGCATAAGATATCATTAAATGTGCAAGTGTCTATGGTTTGGAATATCATAAATACTTTGGAATATTAATTAGGAATTAATATTTAGTTAATTAGTCTTAATATCGGCCTTGATTTGCTCAAATATCTTCATTTTCTCAGGACAGTTTTGCAGGGATTGTCACTTGGAGTTGTCGGTGTGCCAATGCGTGGACAACATTAATGGTGAGACTCTATTAATGGTACTTTGTATTAATGTCCCTCTTCAACCCCTTACAGTGCAAGAGAACTGTTGTAGTGACAGTACATAGAGATACCTGTATGTGGTATAATGTGTTAAATCACTGAACACAGACTGTCACAAAGACTTTCCCTGTCAGTACACATATTAGCATCTACTATATTAGCACCATTATTGTTATAAGCATGCATTTCTTCTACAATCATCGTCATGCATAAAGTAAATTCATTGTAACCATGGCAGTTGGTTCATTCATATTATTTGTTTTTCTTTTTTATTCTTTTGCTGTAAAATGTAGGTTATGAAACATTATTATGAATGTACCAGTATTTATCTTCCCTGCAACTGTTAACATACTATGTCATCTTTACTTCCATTCACCCAGCAAGATGACACAAGATCATCCACACCTGGTTATGGTAGTGAAGAGGACACAGGTGAGGATACCTTAGATCAAACACATTCATTATTGCTGAGGATAAAGTTAGAGATGAAATAGGAAAAGACTGATTGACCATAAAGCAGACACCAATGATTATGATGCTTAATAACATTCCTGAGTTACCTACAGGGACAGGGTGTCAGAAAATAATGAATCAATTTCTATCACAACATTAACAAGCTTTATGCTCTGAACTGTGCACTGACTAAATTTCTTCTGCCTAATATGTAAGATATTCTATGTATGGAGTTAAATTTCATCAACTTTACAATATATTTTGATTCAGTTCCAGAAAGTAGCAATATTCATCTACCAGAAACTATGCAAGTTTCAAAGGCATTCTTTGAGAAAGAGGTAGTGTTAAATTAGAATATATATTTATATTACATTTATTTTATAATATTTTAGCATATGAAAGAAACTGACAGTAAGTGAGTCTCACATTGTCCACAGTTTAGATGATGCATTTATACAGAGAGTTCATTATTATTTCTCTAGGAGGACAATCTTGCCAATGTGATTCATGAATCTGATTCAGGGAAACTTCAGGTAAGAAAATGTAATGTAATGTGTCTAGATCCTTGTTCCTATATCCTTGTTCCATGTGATTTTTACTAACTAAACTAAACCTAAGAAAGTTCTCAACAGCATGAATGTTAAATGGGTGTTAGAAAAAAATAACCTTTATTATTGATGAAGTCAAAATAACTACTGTAAATGCAATTGCCATTCCTATATATAAGCCCCACAAAATAACTTCTGGTCCATGTTTCTTCAAAGAAAACATTATCAACAATGTATGTCCATGGTGATATTGCATGAATAATAACTCCAGTGTTGAAATATGTATAGAAAAAATAGTAGTGTTATTGAATACCCGGTATACCTTTACCCATTCTTGTCATAAGAAGCTTACTGACGGCATCGGGTGGTCAGGCTCGATGGCTTGGTAAATAGACATATGTCATTGTATCCTGGTTGGGCAGATCGACACTCATGTTGATGATCACTGAATTGTCTGGTCCAGACTTGAATATTTACAGACCACCAACATATGGCTAGAATATTGCTGAGTGCAGCATTAAACAACAAACAAACATTCAATGTACTCTCCTTACAGTGGCGACAGAGATGGGCGAGGAGAGAGGCACACAATGTTTCTGCAAAGATATCCGTATCAGGACATGAAGGCAGGCTTTGCAGCAAGTTACATACCAGTAGAGGTAACTAAAGTAGTAAATGATACAGTGCTTAAATGATGATGTTTAGTTTAATGTTACACTTGAGAGCCTCCTTCATACCAATTTGGTAATGTATTTGATGATATTGTAATAATGAAAAGACCCAAACAGACACACACCCACCAATACCAACACTCACCTCCACCCATTAACAACCACACCCACACCCTCACCCACAACCACACCCATCCACTCAAATGCCCACACCCACCTCCATCCACAACCACACCCATGACCACACCCTCACCCACAATCACACCCATCCAGACCCATGCTCACACCCATCCACAACCACACCCATTCCCATCCAGACCCATGCCCACAACCACACCCATCCAGACCCATGCCCACACCCATCCACATCGATAACCACATGAACACCCATCCACACCCATGCCCACACCCACATCCATCCACACACCATGCCTACACACCTATTCACAACCACACCCACATCCACACCCCAGCCACAACCACAACCACACCTGTCCAGACCCATGCCCACACCTACACCCATCCACAACCACACTCCTATGCCCATCTACAACCACACCCACACCCATCCAGACCCATGCCCACACCCCATCCACATCCACACCCATCTAGACCCATGCCCACATCCACACCCATCCACTTCCACAACTCCTCACCCATCCAGACCCCATGCCCACACCCCCACCACCCATCCACATCCATACCCATCCAGACCCATGCCCACACACATCCACTTCCACACCCTCACCCATCCACAACCGCACCACACCCATATCCACACCCATGCCCACACCCACACCCATCCACAATCAAAACATCCAGACCCATGCCAACACCCCGGTCCACTTCCACACCCTCACCCATCCAGACCCACACCCACACCCATCCACAACCACACCACACCCACACCACACCCACACCCATCCACAACCACATCCACACCAATCCAGACCCATTCCCACACCTACACCATCCACAACCACACCCATCCAGACCCATGCCCACACCTACACCATCCACATCCACACCAATCCAGACCCATGCTGACACCCACACCCATCCACAACCACATCCACACCAATCCAGACCCATGCCCAAACCTACACAATCCACAACCACACCCATCCAGACCCATGCCCACACCTAACCCTATCCAGACTCCATGCCCACACTCTACACCATCCACAACCACACCCATCCAGACCCATGCCCACACCTACACCCATCCACAACCACACCTATCCAGACCCATGCCCACACCCCATACACCAACCACATCCACACCAATCCAGACCCATGCCCACACACCTACCCATCCATATCCACACCAATCCAGACCCATGCTGACACCCACACCCCATCCACAAACCACATCCACACCCATCCAGACCCATGCCCACACTCCAACCCCATCCACACCCATGCCCACATCCACACCCATCCAGACCCACACCCACACCTATCCACAACCACACCCATATCCACACCACTCCAGAGCCATGCCCATACCCATCCACAACCACACCCACATCCATGCCCACACCAACACCCATCCACATCCACAACCATCCAGACCCACACCCACACCTATCCACAACCACACCCATATCCACACCACTCCAGAGCCATGCCCACACCCATCCACAACCACACCCACATCCATGCCCACACCAACACCCATCCACATCCACAACCACACCCATCCAGAGCCATGCCCACACCCATCCAGACCCATGCCCACACCAACACCCATCCACAACCACACCCATCCAGACCCATTCCCACACCCACACCAACACTCACCCACAACCATACCAATACGCTCACCCTCACCCACAATTTCACACCCACACCACCCCACACCCACAGCCACACCCAAAAATGAACATATACATGTTTCATGAGAATGTTTGAATTTTGAATCCGCAGCTCTATGGACACCTCCTGAAGTGGCTTGAAACCAACTTTACACGTCGTATCCCAAAAGACAAAAGGTTAGTTATTATCCAGTGACAACAACATACAGTAATCAGTATATAATGAATGTGCTTTGCTTGATCCTGTTCTTGCCAAGATGAGTTTCAATACACATCCTACTGTTGTTATGAATTGTCTTCATGAAAAATATTAACTTCATCAATTTATATTTCATTAATTCATTCACTGATTCATTCATTAAAGTTAAACATGACATTAATGCAATTTTAAGACATGCACTACTACTATCAAGAACCTGTTTATTTCAGCTGCCCCTACACCAGCTCAATGACCACTGTCTTGATGTGCACAATGTGGACGACAAACTCAAAGAACTGACTCTGCAGTACATGTGGTAATATATATTCACAATTTGTTTCTCTCATGTCAATTTTATAAAACAGTGGTTAGAGGGCATTTTCTTCTGAATGTTTCTTTATGTAGCTACCTAATGCAAACATGGTATGTTGATTATGTCTTTCTGTTTCTTTTTACAGTGCAACAACACACTACATTTTTTATGTAGCAGTGAAAGAGGCGTGCTTGTACCTCACTGAGAAATCCACAAAACTCAACTACATGGATGTCAATAGAGAGTGCACTGAAATGGAGTCTTAGAGAGAGAGAGAGAGAGTGAGAGAGAGAGAGACTGAGAGAGAGAGAGAGAGACAAAGAAAGCGAGAGAGAGAGAAAAAAGAGAGAGAGACAGAGAGAGAGAGTATCTACAAAGTGTTGTACAGCATGGTTTAAATCTACTGAAGTACGATTTTCTCAGTTTACTGTAACTTTAAAAATTAAATTTACTTTAAATTCATCTTCAATTTTGTTTTGTTTTCTGCATTATGGAAGAGCATTGTTATTGGACAGATGCCATTGACCAGAAATGAGATAAGCACCCTTTAAAACCTAGGAATGTACTGAGTCAATAATTCTAATTTTCAGAGATTTTTTACTATTATTATTAATCACGTGCCTTTTTACCAGAAGTGGGATAATGCCTTTCAAACCTACAGTTTATGGAATTTAAAGAAGTTTTCTTGGCTGATGATAGTAAATAGCATTTCAAACTTACAAGTAAATTATGAATGTACTGGGTCAATAATTCAAATTCTCAGAGATTTCTAACTATTATTATTAATCATGTGCCTTTGACCAGAAGTGGGATAATGCCTTTCAAACCTACAGTTTATGGAATTTCAAGAAATTTTCTTGGCTAATGATAGGAAATAGCATTTCAAACTTACAAGTAAATTGTGAATGTACTGGGTCACTAATTCAAATTTTCAGAGGTTTTTACCTATCATTATGAATCAATGTGCCTTTGACCAGAAGTGGGATAATGTCTTTAAAACCTACAGTTTATGGAATTTCAAGAAGCTGTCAGTGCTGATGATATAGATTAGCATTTCAAACCTACAAGTAAAATTATGAATGTACTGGGTCAATAGTTCTATTTTACAGAGATTTTTAACTATAATTTTTAATCACGTGCCTTTCACCAGAAGTTGCATAATGCCTTTAAAACCTACAGTTTAAGGAATTTCAAGAAGTTTTCTTGGCTGATGATAGGAAATAGTATTTCAAACTTACAAGTAAATTATGAATATACTGGGTCACTAATTAATATGTTCAGAGGTTTTAACTATTATTATTAATCACGTGCCTTTGACCAGAAGTGGGATAATGCCTTTCAAACCTACAGTTTATAGGAATTTCAAGATGCTATCAGGGCTGAAGATAGGAAATAGCATTTCAAACATACAAGTAAATTATGAATGTACTGGGTCAATAATTCAATTTTTCAGAGATTTTTACCTATTATTATTAATCACATGCATTTGACCAGAAGTGGGATAATCTCTTTCAAACCTACAGTTTATGGAATTTCAAGAAGTTTTCTTGGCTGATGATAGTAAATAGCATTTCAAACCTACAAGTACATTATGAATGTACTGGGTCAATAGTTCTATTTTACAGAGATTTTTAACTATTATTATTAATCACATGCCTTTGACCAGAAGTGGGATAATGCCTTTCAAACCTACAGTTTAAGGAATTTCAAGAAGTTTTCTTGGCTGATGACAGGAAATAGCATTTCCAAGCTGCAAGTTAACTATTAATGTACTGGGTCAATAATCCAAATGTTCAGAGATTTTTAACTATTATTATTAATCACATGCATTTGACCAGAAGTGGGATAATGTCTTTCAAACCTATAGTTTATGGAAGTTCAAGAAGTTTTCTTGGCTGATGATAGGAAATAGCATTTCAAACTTACAAGTAAATTATGAATGTACTGGTTCTATAATTCTAATTTTCAGAGATTATTAACTATTATTATTAATCACGTGCCTTTGACCAGAAGTGGGATAATGCCTTTAAAACCTACAGTTTATGGAATTTCAAGAAGCTGTCAGGGCTGATGATAGTAAATAGCATTTCAAACATGTGAGCAAATTATGAATGTACTGGGCCTTTAATTCTATTTTACAGAGATTATTAACTATTGTTATTAATCACGTGCCTTTGACCAGAAGTGGGATAATGCCTTTAAAACCTACAGTTTATGGAATTTCAAGAAGTTGTCAGGGCTGATGATAGTAAATAGCATTTCAAACATGTGAGCAAATTATGAATGTACTGGGTCTTTAATTCTATTTTACAGATATATTTAACTATTATTATTAATCACGTGCATTTGACCAGAAGTGGGATAATGCTTTTCAAACCTACAGTTTATGGAATTTCAAGAAGTTTTCTTGGCTGATGATAGGAAATAGCATTTCAAACTTACAAGTAAATTATGAATGTACTGGGTCACTAATTCAAATGTTCAGAGGTTTTTACCTATTATTATGAATCACGTGCCTTTGACCAGAAGTGGGACAATGTCTTTAAAACCTACAGTTTAAGGAATTTGTAGATGCTATTTGGGCTGATGATTGTAAATAGCATTTCAAACTTACAAGCAAATTATGAATGTACTGGGTCACTAATTCAAATTTTCAGAGATTTTTAACTATTATTATTAATCACGTGCCTTTGACCAGAAGTGGGATAATGTCTTTAAAACCTACAGTTTATGGAATTTCAAGATATTATCAAGGCTCAAGGCTGATGATAGCAAATAGCATTTCAAACATGTGAGCAAATTATGAAGGTACTGAGTCTATAATTCCATTTTACAGAGATTTTTAACTATTATTATTAATCACGTGCATTTGACCAGAAGTGGGATAATGTCTTTAAAACCTACAGTTTATGGAATTTCAAGATATTATCAGGGCTGATGATAGCAAATAGCATTTCAAACAAGTGAGCAAATTATGAATGTACTGGGTCTTTAATTCTATTTTACAGATATATTTAACTATTATTATTAATCACGTGCATTTGACCAGAAGTGGGATAATGCTTTTCAAACCTACAGTTTATGGAATTTCAAGAAGTTTTCTTGTCTGATGATAGGAAATAGCATTTCAAACTTACAAGTAAATTATGAATGTACTGGGTCACTAATTCAAATGTTCAGAGGTTTTTACCTATTATTATGAATCACGTGCCTTTGACCAGAAGTGGGACAATGTCTTTAAAACCTACAGTTTAAGGAATTTGTAGATGTTATTTGGGCTGATGATTGTAAATAGCATTTCAAACTTACAAGCAAATTATGAATGTACTGGGTCACTAATTCAAATTTTCAGAGATTTTTAACTATTATTATTAATCCGTGCCTTTGACCAGAAGTTGCATAATGTCTTTAAAACCTACAGTTTATGGAATTTCAAGATATTATCAAGGCTGATGATAGCAAATAGCATTTCAAACATGTGAGCAAATTATGAAGGTACTGAGTCTATAATTCCATTTTACAGAGATTTTTAACTATTATTCTTATTCATGTGCATTTGACCAGAAGTTGCATAATGCCTTTCAAACCTACAGTTTATGGAATTTCAAGATATTATTAGGGCTGATGATGATAAATAGCATTTCAAACATGTGAGCAAATTATGAATGTGCTGAGTCTATAATTCTATTTTACAGAGATTTTTAACTATTATTATTAATCACGTGCATTTGACCAGAAGTGGGATAATGCCTTTCAAACCTACAGTTTATAGAATTTCAAGATATTATCAAGAGCTGATGATAGCAAATAGCATTTCAAACTTACAAGTAAATTATTAATGTACTGGGTCAATAATTCAATTTTCAGAGATTTTTACCTACTATTATTAATCACATGCATTTGACCAGAAGTGGGATAATCTCTTTCAAACCTACAGTTTATGGAATTTCAAGAAGTTTTCTTGGCTGATGATAGTAAATAGCATTTCAAACTTACAAGTAAATTATTAATGTACTGGGTCCAATAGTTCTATTTTACAGAGATGTGACCAAGTGGGGTTGGTCTACCAACATATCACACAAGAGAGTATCCAGTCCAGTTCATTTTGTATTCCATAACTTTCTGTGTGATGAAGCACCTGGAGCAGCCACACAGTTTAGCTTCTCTCTCTCTCTCCTCTCACACCCACACTGTCTTTGTCTTAAACTCTCACCCTTGCTCCCTCTCTGTTATCAGTAGATCTTTCACTCTGGACCAATGCTGGGGCGACCCTTGTCCTGAGGTGCCTTAAGCTAACCCCAGACGACAAGTATTTATAGCTTTATCCCCAAAACACTAGCCCATGTGTCTTAAAGGAATCTCCCCATTACCTTAAGTATGTAGGGAAAGATAAACCTTAAACACCCTGTCACATTCTCCCCTGCTGTAAGTTTACGTCCACGAAAACTTCAAAAATAGCCAAATGTTTAAATTTAGAATTTATTTATTTAAATCTTTCTTTGCCTGATACTGAAATAGTTTATTTTAATACAAATATCTACACTACACTATATTCTACTATGCAGTATGCATCTTATCATTCTATATACACAATAACCATTCTCTCTATAATCCTTAACAGAATGAACTAAGTCCCCTAGGCCTAGCTACAACCTAATATCATTGAAACTACATGGAAACTTGTGTTTTGAAACTAGTGACTGAAATGGTAACCACTAGTTATACACCATACATTTACATATACACCACTACTAGTTCTTGCCTGTCTGCTTTAGTGCATTACTTACCTCTTGTATTGCAACTTTCATGAGTCTCTCACTCAGGTTGACTAGTGTACTCTCTGTACTACAAAGACTGCCAGACACAGAATTAGTAGGATTTACCTCCTGATTGTTAGTGTTTACAGATTTGGGCAGATTGTGAAGGTTAGAGTGCTTTCCCTTATTATCCCTTGCAGACCTCCTCATTGGTTCCTTCACCTGAGGTAGAGAGTGAGACCGATGCTAGAGTGTCTACTTTGTCTGGGCATTCTACCAGAAAATCTCTTCATCAGAGGACTCTGATGCACTGATAGCTGACCTACTTCCCATCCTGCTCTTCCCTCATCCCTCTGATTTACTTCCCACTTTTTTGTGATACCCTTTGGATGAACATTCCTTCATTTCTGTCCTGTTAACAATCTTGTCTGGTCCATCGATATCTACAGGTGTTACCCTGTACAATCTCCCATCACGGTCTAGTTCTTCTACCACTTCGTAAAGGGTACTATTCCAGTGATCTTGAATTTTGTTTCTACCCTGGACCTGCCGGTTCCTCAGGTACACAAGTGAACCAAGGGTTATCTTCTTCTGGTGAGCCTGTTCGTCATGACGAATTTTTCTTGCTCTGGCATCAGATTGCAGATGCTCCCCCTTTTTTGTAAGCATAGATAAGTTTTTCCTGTTGTTGATCTACCCATTCTG